AAAAGTCTGCATATAGTCTTAGAAATACGACTCTAGTATAGAAGGCAGAAAATGAGAAAGCACCATATAGTAAGAAAATCTGGCCTTAAGTCAAAAGCTTTGGGATCTTGTCAGAAACTAGAGCTAATTTGTTTTATGAATCGGACTGGTCAGTTGCCATTGTTAGGCTTCCAATTCTTTGCTGGAAAGGTAAGAGAAGTTGACCAAATTATCACTAAAGTCCACCATTCAGCTCTGAAACTCATGACAAGTAAATATTCTATTTTGAATTTTCATTAGGTTAAGGATTTAACAATCAGCTGAAGCAGGATGACTCACCCATAACATGTTCCAGGAAAATATGAAATGACATGTTGAAGAGCATTTAAATTGAACAAAACAGATTTGTGTGTGTGCCACTATTGATATACAAATGTTGAATGTGTTTTACTGTATCTACTGAATATGATTGATAGGAGAGGCATCAATTTCAAGGTTTGTGAATTTAAGTAAATTGTTGTCAGTGGTATCGCTTCTTAAAAAAATTATATCTTTACAGCGAACAGACAAATTGAGACAGGATATACATAAAGCATCAATTTAGCACAAATATCCACTTACAATTGTGAAATATATATATGTAGTTGGGAGTTTTTCAGAAAATTCAAGGAGCATTTTTTAAATTGCTTATGCTTTTTAGAATGCTTAGCATTTCTGTTTTGAAAACAACTTGTCTTCCTTTTCAAAATGTATGTGCAAAGCTGGCTCTGATGTCAGAATGAACCATTTTCACAGGATTGGGTCAGCTCCCACTCAACATTTCTTTTACAGAAAGAAAACCGGTGATGAGACAGTATTTGAGCTCGTTAAATCTCAAACCCCCCAGCCTCTTTTCCAAAGCACCACACAACTCTTAAATATATAATCACGAGGAGGAAAAGAAGAGAATATAGTTTGTCTTTAACTAAATTATTAAATCCTTGTTTTGACCCTTTCCTTTCTACCTTGACCCTTTCTGCCTCTACCTTTCATTTAAATTTCCTCACTTTGGGATGAAAAAGCACGAGTAAGTCTGGTGCATAAAAAGGAAAACAAGCAAAGAAATAGAAAACTTGTCCTTTCATCTCTTCCACTGCTGTTTTCTTTCCTCTCTCATTTCTCTCTGCATCGAACTTGAATTGTGTCTATTTAAATCCTTCCTATACCCAGGATATTTTGGTTTTCCAATATTTTTACACTGAATAAAAATAGTTTAAAAATTTTTTAAATGCATGTCACAAATATTTCACAGATAAACTTGCTTTAAAACATAAGTGAATATCAAGTGAGAAAAACAAAAATTTTCTTCACAAAACTTATAGATGTCTGCCTTCCCTTTAGAAGGTTTTTAAAGCTTATAAAGGAAGCCACTGGAAGCAAGTTCATGTTTAGCAAGGATAGCCAAAAAATTTAAAAAAAGAAAGAAAGAAAATAAATTGATTTAATGGGATTAAAGCCCACTCTGGATTTAATTTCAAAGTTTCCATTTATGTCATGTCAGATTTGGGGAGACTGAACCCTCATTGAATGCATTGGGCTGACTGTCTCCCATGCCTGATACCCAGGGTTCATGACTACAGTTCCTGGCACAGTCATAAATATTCATACCTAGACTAATAATTTGCAAGCCAAATTCATTTGGCTTTTTTCACCCCATCAATCTTATAATTAATAAGGGTGGTGCTCTTGTTTCACTTTCCTCCAAAAGAAAAGATAAATGAAATAAAGAGTCATCCTGTAAATTTAAATAGGAGTGCCTCTCACTGATTAAAAGCTGATGCTATCATATAATGGTGGAAGGGGAGGCTTCAGCTATTTCTCTCACTGGTGGCTGGGGTGGGGTGAGGGGTGGTGATGGGTAATGCAAAGGAAGCATTTCCAGATGTGGCAGCATGAGCCTTAATGTGAAGAGTTTGGTTATCTATTAAATAATGCATAGGCGAATTTTGAGAAATCATGTTAGAAATAAGTTACAGGATATATATTTACAAATTGCACTCTTACCTAATATTTTGATAGATGTCCACTGAATATAGCTGGCCGTTGAAAACAGCATGCCAATATCCAGAAAAGCGGATTCCGAACAGCCTGCAGTTTAGAAATTTAGAGCTAGATTAGAAAATTGTTAAAATTTGGTGATCGTTCTATCTTCAAAGTGACTGCCTTTGAATTAGCATGATCGCTGTGTTTCTAAATCTAATTAGAAAGACTTGGTTTCCATAAAAACATTAAAGGAAGTATATAGACATCACAACATAATTTTACAAATAAATCTCAGTATATAGGACACAATGTAAATTGTCTGCTCCTATTGGATGTTCTAAGATCATTTATAACAAAGCAGGAAAATCAAAGTGAACATAATTTTGAAATAAAATTTTGCTAATTGAGCTAAGCAACTTGATCTTGTCAATCCCTTGACCTTATTCTATTTACGCTTCATTTAAACATTCAAAAAGTTCCAAGATCCAAGGATAAGCTTCAAACTATGAACAACTGTCTTCACTCTGTTTTGGTGGGCATTATCAACCCTTTTGAGCAGATTCTTTAATCTGTTTTACAACAAAGAGACTTGGATAAATAAGGAAGCAGGAAAAGCTTAACTCTGCAGTTAGGTATTCACCTCTAACTTCTTTGAGGGGAACTTACTTTAGATATGTAATTATCTGGGCAGGGCGCAGTGGCTCACGCCTGTAATTTGGAGGCCAAGGTGGGTGGATCACCTGAGGTCGGGAGTTCAAGACCAGCCTGACCAACATGGTGAAACCCCGTCTTTAAAAAAAAAAAAAAAGGAGAAGAAGAAAAAAAAAAAAAGAGATGTAATTATCTGTAATTTTTGTATATTGGCTAGTTTTAAGAACTCCTGACACCTGCGAAATTCCTGAGACCCACCTAAATTACGTAAAGGCAGTGGAAGGGGATACCAGGCACTCTTCGAGTTCTTTATCTTTAAAGCTTATATTTAATTGTTTTGTTCTTTAAAATCCTATGTTCAGGGCAGTCCCTCTTTAAACATGTCTAAGTGCAGTTGCAGAAAAGATACATTTTACTTTTTAATTCTATGTGAATGCAATTACACATTTGATTTACTGCAAAAAAAGGGAAAACTGCTTTTCTCCACTGACATTTAAAAGAGGAGGGCAAATGAGAGAGAAGCAAGCCTGACTCTGGGCCTCAAAGTGTTTCCCAGACCTACTCTTGTCAGCTGCGTCCGGGATGAGAATGGACCCAGAGCACAGATGCTCTGGTGATCAGGGTAAGCGGCACAGGTGGGGACCCTAAGGCCTCTTTTTCAGGAGTTCTCAGCTGGTGGGGGAGCTCTGTTCGGGTTTCTTGTAGGGGTGTCGAGGGGCCTAGGAGGGAACTGACTTGTCCTCACCCTCTGTTAAACCCTTCTCAACTTTGCTTGGCTGAGGGGCGGGCGGGGGGTGAAGGGGTGGCGGTCATCTTGGAAAACTCACGGTTAGGTAATCAAGTCTCTCCTCTCCTACTACTTTCAAAAGCAAAATGAGACCCACTTAGAGCTTGTGGGTGCTTCCTGGGTCCTTGCTATCGATCTTCCAGGTCACCAAAACAACACCGCGGCTCCTGTAGGTGTGTCCTCCGAAGGCGTGGGAAGAGAGATCTATGAATGGCAAAGGGGGATGGGACAGACAGAGACAGAGGGGAGAGAGACTGGCTCTGACCGTCACCTTTTCTCCTGCATTCCAAATCTGCTTTTGGAGCCCGAGGCAGCCCTCCATCCCGGCGCCACCCGAAAGCTAGGCTGCTAGAGTGGGCTGGGCCTGAGCACTGCGGAGCGAGCTTCTCTGTCTTTAAAGGGCTCCCCAGGATGAGCGCTTCGGGAGCTCGACGCGGCGGCCCCCGGCTCAGACTTTCTGGCCGGCGGTCGTGGGCTCCGGGGCAGTCGCACTGAGGCATCTCGGAGGCGCCCGCCCTACGCTGCTTCTCCCAGTCCCGAGGGTCGTGGGGGCCTGAGGACTGATCTCTTCCTAACTCCATTCCCGAAAGCCCGGGAAGAGCATGGGGGAAGGGGAAGGTGAGAAACACCCCTTCCACTCACCACAGCCACACCCTCTGAGAGGTGGCACCACCAGGCCCAGAGCCAGGAGGAGCCTCGCTCCCTGGCCTGCTGCACCCCAACTTCCTGCTTCGGGGGAGCCAGCTGTGCTCCTCTTCAGCCATGGGGATCTGAGGATTTTTTGCAAATAGATTCTTAATTGTTTTAATGTTCTTCCCTTTTTTGTGTGAGTCTGGCTGCTGTGGGGGCGGGCACGGGCGGGGGGCGGGGTGCGGTTAGGAAGGACTGGGATTAGGATTGGGTCAGAGAAGAGGAGGCAGCAATTACATAGCTTTGTGGATGTTTGTGTGCACACGTGCCTAGGTCACCGCAGCCGTGTGCGTGTGTGGGTAATGGGGTGGGGGAGAAAGAGAGTCTAGAAAGCTCAGGAACCGTAGACTAGGTCAGTTTGGTGAGTTTGTGGAGCACAGACGCGCTGCAGACCCAGCGACTTTCGCCTCACCTAGGGGTCTGGAATAGACACACCTACAGCTTGGGGTTCATTTAACCCCTTTTGTGCCTCAGTCCCAAGAACTTTGTTCGCCAGCACCGGGGAGACAGGCTGTCCGGAAGAGTGGGGCTGGAATGACCGAGCACAGAGGTTCACACTAGAGAACTGGGCTCAGGGGTGCTGGGCCCAGCACCCAGTGCTCGCTCACCAAGCCAATGCTCACTCACCACGCCAGTGCTCACCACGCCAGTGCTCACTCCTCTGGCCTGGCGGCTTGCCCTGTCTCCAACTCTTTCCTCCAGGTGGGAATGAAGGGCTTTCTCTGCATCGATTTGGCTTCCCCTGTAAGAAGGGAAATTACCAATTGTGTTGTTTTTATTTTTTAGAATCACGCTTGCTTGAGATTGTGTTCACCTGGCAAAGTGGAGAGTTTGAAGCTGAGATGAGTTTGAACAAATGAAGCTGAGAAGACTTTGGACGATACCAAATAAATATTGTGAATGATAACTTGTGTTAAAGCTAAAACTTTTGCACAGTGTCCGGGACTGGCCCATTACTGGAACAGAACTAACCCTCCCAGTGCATTATCAATGTGTGTACACCGAGTTCTCAATATCTTCAACATCCCGATTCTCTCGAATTTCAAAAGGTGATTGGGCTGGCACAGTCCAAGAGCCTACTTCTGTGTATTTTTCCTAGAAATACTTTGGACTAAATGGGTCAGCATGAAATAGACAAAGACAAGGAAAATAGAGGAAGGGGAGAGGAAATTAATTCTGGGAGAGGTGAGGAGAAAAGGGAACAGGGAAAAAGAGAGGAAGAGAGGAAGAGGAGGGGCGGGAGGGAGGGAGAGATTTTTCACACGTGCAGACCAAGGGCTTTGAAGCCTTCGACCCTGACCCCCAAACCCAAGTGCATCTCACAAAACAGGTTCGGCTCATATTTCAGGCGGTCTCCTGGCCCGGCGTCCGCGGTCCCCGGGGCCTTAATTCACTCCTGCCCTCTCCGAGCAATGACTTTCGAACCTGGGAAAATAATTGCATTAGAGCAGATTACTTATCCGTCTTTTTCTGTTCGACAGAAGTCTATTAAACTCAACACAGCCATTACCAGCTGAGCTCTAGAGCGCGCCTTCATTAAGAAAATTAAAATCATACTTTTGAACCTAAGCAACGCCTGCGCAGGTCTCAGGAGCCCGTGTCAAATCCCTGTATTTTCGCGAACCTGATTTTTCCGCGAATCAATGTCTGCTTTTTGGATACCGTAGATCAGGGTGTAAAGATTGAGTGTGATGACAGTTTCTCTGAAGATAGGGACGCCTGAGCTCTGAAAGTACCATCTCTCTTCTCTGTCCCTCCTCCTCCTCCCGCCGCCTGCTTTCCTAGGGTGGCTCTTCTCCCGGGAGCTTTCCAGTCAGACGCTGCACACCTGTCCGGGCGTGCCCCGGGATTTGGGTAGCAGGTGGGGGCGGCTGAGGCGACAGGGAGGGGACGGTGGGTTCAGGGCCCGGGAAACCCGGGGGTGAACTTCCCCAGGTGACGTCTGCGGCCAGAGGCCCGCACCGAGTGCACGTGTTTCACACACGCGCGCGCGCACACACACCAGAGCGCGGCGGGGAGACTGTCCCCGGCCATCGGGTTTCACAGCCGCTCCCGGGCCAGTGTGGCCTGTGAGCCTTTTGTCCACCCAGGCGCGGGAGCCTGGCCGGGGAACAGGGCAGGCCGTTGCTTACGCCTCGGACAGGGAGCTTCGGTCCCTTTGGCGGGGTCTTTGGCCTCTGGGGGCCTATCTGAGTTTCCTCCTTGGTTTGGTAAGAGCAGCAGTAGCGCCGGGTACCCCTCGGAGACTGTGGGCGGAATCGCTCCGGCTCCTACCCTCTCCGGCGCCCCAGCTTGGGGTGGAGGGAACAGGTGGGAACTGCGGGCTGGAAGGAGGGCGACGTCCGCTACCTCCCCTCCCGAAGCCTCTGGGTAACATCTCCCATTGCTCTAGCGGAGTTAGGATCTCCATTTCCACTTTCAACTGAAAACCTCACCCGGCGGGAGAACTGCCTGTCCGCTCAGTTAGGAGCGGGTGCGTTTGCATTGTTTTTTTTTGTTTTGTTTTGTTTTGTTTTTTTCTTTTTTTGTGGCATCTGGAAATTCGCGGTGTTTCAAGAATAATTTTTAGCATATTTTTCCTGTTTGTTAGCCACCGCCCTCCGTTTCTGCATTTGGCTTTAAAAAATGTTAATGACTGTGTGCATCTGTGAAAGGTTCACCCAACTCAGGACTCTAAAAGAAAACATAACGCCTTTTGCACATTTTGGGGGCATCCTTCTCTAGGGTTCTAGGGGCAGACAGGTGCTGCTTCCATTTCTTTTCTTTTCTTTTTTTTTTTTTTTTTTTGGTCAGAATTCTCAGTCATAGAGTTCTCACCCCCTCTTTCTCTGTATAATGCGGCTTTGGGATTTATTAGGGGAAAATAGTATAGCACCCCCTCCTCCTCCCTATCAGCACTCAAATACAGGATTGGATGGACTTACTTGAAAGTGTATATATTGTTGTTCCTCAGCAAGTGTCTAGTTCTCTTTCTCTCAGTTTCTATCTGGTACAAAAGCCTACAAAACTCAAGTGACGAAAGTCAACAAATAGATGTGGACAAGCGAACATCTTTTACATCTCCACAGCTTTCAACTCGCTAATTGGTGAATATTAAAAATATTTTTCCAGGAAAAAAGGAAAACAAACACACCTACACTGCTGTTGTTAGTGTTTTCTTCTCATCAAATGCAGACACATCATTGGATTTCTTTTTCCTTTGTAGCAACAGATGAGGAAATCAGAAGTGAAATGCAGCCTTTTAACAGTAGCAATTCCAAGAGTTTGTGAAACAGTTTTCTTTGCTTCTGTTTTCCCTTCTTTGCCCTTAAAGCGAAACAAAAACAAAGATACAAAAGGAGGAAACATCATTCTTAGTGAAGAGTTTATTTTGTTGCCACAATAAAGGGATGGGGGCAGTTAACAGCTACTTGAGATGGTAATGCTTAGTGATCCCATTCTTTTAATCATAATCTTCAAGTGGTTTAAGATTAATGGCAAGGGGTGTTTTCCGTCTTTACCTAAGGACCTTCACATTAATTTACTCAGAACATTGATCAGACTGTCAATGTCTCCAAATTTCATTAAGTCAAACAGAAACCATACAATGAGATGATCACATTTCCTTTATATGTGAGAGTGTCTTACTAAAAATGGTTTTATTTGGATTCAACTGCTATGAGGGACACCTCCTTCCTTGTCTTTATTACCTTATTGTCTTTGTATAGATATATAGATAGCTAGATATAGATGTTTTGTATTTATACCCACATACATATATTTGAATAGACCCATATGGTCTGCAGATAACTTCCCTTCCACTTGTGAGCTTAACAGGGACCTTTTAAAAAGTCAACCCCAGTGGCAGGCAGCAGGTTCTGCTCCCCCAGAGCAGGATTTATATTTAAAGTCAGTTTGAACCCAATGGACTTCCTCAAAACAGACCCCCAAAATGATTACAGCTTGGAGTATAAATATTTAACTTTACCTCAGTTGCCACAATAGCCCAGCAATTCTTCAGACACTATCAGACTGAGGCATCACTTCACTGACCTGAAGACCCTGGCTGTGTCCCACCTCTGCCTTGCCCTAGGAGCGCTGGTTCTATGCAGTCGCCAGGTCCCTGTCGCCTCCCGGAGCGTCTCCAAAGATGGGGGTGGGGGTTGGAGAAGGAGTGACACACAGGGATTCTGGGAGAAGCGAAAAAGGATAATGGATTTTTAAACCAGAGGGCCCTGCTACTCTGGCAAGAAATGAAAGTCCAGAGACACACCTTTCCCCTGCTGTCCTCCCTGTCAGTGTTCCTCCTCCCGCGCCTCATTTCTGAGCACCGTTTGAACTAAATCCCGAAATCCGGGACTTTGAAAAGCAAAACCAAAAACTCCCCTAGAAACTAAAGTCGTTCCGCAATGCAGATTGACACTATTTATGTGGGGGTCTAGTTGCGGTCAGCAGACTTTTCCAAGTCAGGGCTGCGTTGCCAGCGCACTTCCCAAGAGTGGAGGCTGGCGGTGCAGGCAGCGCGGCCGCCAGCCCGAGATTGCTCCTGCTCTCGTTACCTGTGCGCCCTCGCGTTACATGGTGCTCATAAATCCCGCGGCAGATTAACTGGGAAACCAAGAAAATGCCTCTATGCACCGAACCGTTGAAAAAGAACCAAAATTCTCTCAGATAGTAGTAGCCTCACACCTTGCATTGGACGTGAAACACTATAGGAAGATCAAATGTCAAAGACATCGGCGGTTTATCTTGGTGCATGTCAGCTACCCTTTCCGTCTCCAGCAAAATTAAGAAATACGACCTTAAAAAGAATAGACACGAGTGGAAAAGACGCGCGCGCGCGCCCGCGTGTGTGTATGTGTGTGTGTAGTCAGCTACGGTAACAACTTTTCAACACGTTTTCTGCTTTAAAAAAAAAAAGGTTAGGACAGGTTCTGGTATTGCTTTGCGTTGAAGCAAAGGGTCATCATTCTGGACAAGGAACCCTCTGAATTCCGCAAGCTATTCCTCAACACTTTTCTCAAACAGTGCGAGTTTCCTGGAAGTTTAATTTTGTGAGGATACAAAATATTGCTTTGTATTTGGCCTCTTTCCCCATGAGATATCCATTTTTAAAACGTCTACAGCATCTATGAAAAACATTTCCTTGGACTCAGAACCTGCAGGTCGGCAGGAAAAACAAACTATAGCGAAAACCCAGAGAATAAAGAGATGTAGAAAAAGGAAATGTGTCCCTTTGCTAAGGCTTTTGATGGCTTATTCCCCAGAGGCCAAGTGAAGGTGTGTGTGTGTGGGGGGGTTCTTTCGCATTTTATTATTTTTATCACTTATTCATTTAAATGTTCAGTACTTGACAAGCTATTCCCCTGCCGCGGGGTTTTGCTGGAGAATGGACGTGGGGGCAGTAGAAGGAGTCAGTGAAACGTGGGGTGCGCAGAAAAACATGATTCTCTTTACAGGGGCCTGACCCGCCGCGTTCTGCTCTATTGGCCAGCAGGGGGCGCTCTGATGTTAGCTCTGGACTAGACAGCAGAGCCACTCTGAGCTTGCAAGGCAGGCTTGGCAGTTTCACGCAGCTGCAAAAGGAAAGGGAGGGGGGATTGTAGCTCCTACATCCTCAACAGCTATTCCATTTGGGTTATTTACCCTCTGTTCGAAATGCATCTACGTCTCACTTTACCTACCCATCCCGCTTATAGTGCATCCCTTTCTCCATTCGCCTCTTTCTTTTCATCTGCATCTACGCAGCACATGTATAATCTCTCTCTAGCCTTGAAATATACATTAATGCAACTTCTTAAATGCGACGATGAATAGTCAACATTTTTTTCGCCTGTTAGTTCCGCTGATCCAAGCAGGATTTATTTGCAGATCTCACGTCCAGGAGCCATAATGCATGATTTTTTTCCCCTTAAATAAAATTGGTCAAATGTTGACAACCTTTAGGCCAATCTAACACTCAAGACTAGTGATGGGAAACTAATGAGAAAATATCAGATCGCCCAGCCTGAGGGCTGCCAATTAAATCTTCACTGATTGAAAAATAAAAGCGGACTTGGGGTGTGAGCCCAGCTCAACTTCAACTATTAATTTAACATGTTGCCTGGTTCGTACCTTCTCTTCTCTAAACGGCTTCCCGTAATAGAGCTTTCTCCTCTTCATCCCTCAACCTAAAAGCCAAATGTTATTTCTTAGAATATTTCAAGAAGTCCAAATCAGGATGATCGTCTCTTACGTGGTAAATATTAGGCCTTTAAGCAATATGATTTAACTAATTAGAAAATTTACATCATTAAGTCTCAGGGAGAGAAAAAAAGAGAAACAAATCTGCCAGTCATTTTAAAGGAGACAGGCACTATTGAAGTGTGAAGAAATCGGCTCTAATTCAAAAAGGCAATCGGGCAGAAAAAGCCCTCAACATTACCCTGCTAGTTATTAATCAGAAAGGGCTCTCTCCTCCCCACACCTCCTCCCCTCTAAGCATTGAGTTTAAGTTCGTTTTTTTGCCAGTGGCCCATGTCATATTTATATTGAGGTTTTGTCTGCTAAAGGATTAAAATTTGAAAATGTTTCAATAAAAGGAAAACAGAAACCTCAAAGGGAAAAATATTCACAGAATCACCTCTCTTTCAGACAAGTAAACTTGTAATAAACAATTCTCACGCCCCTCTTATTTTCTTTTTCTAATTCCTTCGTCTTTCTCCCCATTAAGTTCCTATTTTGAAACCTGCTTGGTGAGAACTAGATAAAGTCTTTGTGTTCTGCTCCCCTCCCCCTCCTTTCTTGCATCTCCTCCCTCCTCCAAAGCGAGAAACTTAGACTGAAAGCAGAAAAGTACAAATACATTAACAAAGCCCCACTCACTTGATAAAAAGGCCATGGTCTAGGCTTACATGTCAGGAATCTAAGGGAAGGGGGCTCTGTCGGTGGGTCTACAGACAGAAGATGATGAACTAGAAATTTCCCCCACCTATGTATACTATTCAATATAGCGTGTGGTTAGAGAAAAAGGCAGGCAGGTGGGTGAGAATTATTTTAAAGTGTATTGTGGTGTTGTGTGGCTTGTTCTTTCTTCTCCTCTTTTCTTTTCAGCTTAAAACAGCAGCCTCATTATATCTAGGTGCCCCTTCCCATCATACTCTTACTTAAGCCCTTGTGCACCACACACATCGCCTGTGCCCTCGTCTTCTCATTCCCAGCAAATTAACAGAAGAGCGAACTGCAAAAGAAACTTTGTGAGTAGTCTCATTTGGAAACTCAGGCCCTTCCTGGCATCTCTGAGAATTTATTCTTAAACGGATATTGGCTTCAAAAAAATGTAATAGCAAGACTTAGATATTCAATTTCCCTTCATTATTATTTCTTTTTAAATTATAAAGAGGTCCCCAAGCCTCATTTTTCTGCCTTGTCCTATTCTTCTCTCATTATGTTCCCTCCTGGCCTCATTTTCTTCTCCTTGATGCCTTACTTTCTGAAAGTTTCACTACCTTATTTCCCATCAAGGCACTGGGCCTTAGAATTCTCAAGTCTTTGGGTTTCTGCTGGCCTTGAGCAGCTCCCCAGCGTTAGTTCAATGTCATATTCCCAGTTACCAGATTTCATCTTTGCAGGAGAGAGCAGTAGCAGACCTGGGCTATTAACACACTACAGTTAATTCTCTGCGGGAACTTTTACTAGGTGGGACTTGTGGAAGGAGAAAACATCTGTAAACAGTGCATGCTCCTGAGGGTGCGGAATAATTTCTAATAGGCCAGAACACATTAAATACGGCCAAATTTGTGAACGAGCCAGTTCCAAGTTACCATTTGGTTAAATAAGGAAAGGGAAGAGAAAAGGGGGACACTGGGAGGAGTTTAGAATGCTCCCCAAATGCAGCTCCTTTTCTGACCATTAAAGAGCAGATGTGAGTCGAACGTGCTCCCCTTTGAGAAAGATGAGAGTAAAATGGACACCTCTGTCACTTTCAGGAGGCCGGACACAGAGAGGTGAAAATAGACAAGACAATGGCCTCTGGCGCTGGTGGGCTTCCTTGGCGGGGCTCTTTTGCCCCGTCCCTCTCAGAACCCTTCTTACCTTTGTTGCTTCACTTTGATATGAAACCATGGGATGTTCCTGGGCTAGTTTTCTCGAGAGGAAAAAGACCACGAGAATCAACCCGTCTCCTGCATCTACTCCGAAGTCAGGAAGCATTACAATAAAATTTACAGCGCCTTTAACAACTCGCAAGTAAAGCATTAAAATTCGCTTTAATTGAGAAAATATTGATTTTTAAGTCTAGAAAAAGCGAAATCGTAATTTAGCTTCAAACTTTCAGGCGAGAATGTAGCGTATTATGTCGCCGTATAATGGATTCACCCTTTATGCCCATGCAACACCACATCTTTAATTGCGCTACTTTATGAAGTGATAAAGACAAAAGATAACCCGACTTAGCCAAACGCTTTTTAAAAAGAAGACCTAGAGTCATTTCGTTTACCAGATATTTGTAAAAAGAATTATCTCCTTTCTTGAAGCAGGAAAAAAAAATACCCAAAAGGGAAGAAAGAAATAAAAAAGAAAGGAAAATCACAGACTAGTCTAAAAGCAACTCACATTAGCCAATCCGTTGATATTCTCTACCAAAGGAGGGATGAAGCCAACATTTAGAAAGAATGCATTCACGGACAGAATTGCATCCTCCTTTAAACGAAACAAACCTGGGTCTATTTTCTTACTTTACTCCTCCGTCCTTTTTTTGGGGTGGGGAGTAGGGGAAAGGCAGAGGGTCCAGAATCCATTGGTGGACAGGGAAGGGAAAGAAAATCAGGCTTTCTATGTTATTTCTGTATCGGTTTTTGGTATTATAGAGGAGTAAAGAAGTTTTTGTGTGGTGGTTTTTCATTGATCAGTCACTCTGAGCTAATGTAATTATCCTCATCAATAGGAGGCTGCAGAGAGAATCATTATGTGGGTGACATTGATAAATGATCGCCCAGGAACGGCCCTCTCGCGGGCAACCCCCACGTCTGACCCTCCCACACACACAATGTAGTCATAGAAACACCTAGAGAACCTCGAGACCCGCCGCGGAAGAGGCAGGAGAGGGAAGAAAAGCCTCGGGCGGCCGAGGAGGGGGTGGGGGCGAAAGGGGACGGCCAGCCCCAGATCCAAACCAGTTCCAACGACAAAAACAGCCAGCGGCGGGGGGCGAGGGGAGAGGGACGATCTCCCCACCCGGCGGCCAACCCTCCCGCGCACAGTTGCTCACAACAAAGTGAAAATCCGCCCTCCAGACGGACCCATTCCTCCACACCTTTTCCCATGTGTGACCTCACTACCAACAACATCTGATGTTTGCCGAGACGCACATTCAAAGGGGTCTCTCCAAAGGAGTTAAATAATTAGGTCACAAAACTTGCAGGCATTTAATTCTCACGCTAGTTTACCCCGCTCCCCAAAGCCCAACAAACAACAAACCAACCAAACCCATCTGCAAGAAAACAAAGGCAGCATCTGGGTGACACCCCCCTTTCTGCGTTCCCCCCAGTTATTTACTGGGTGACCCGGTCCTTTCTCTTCA